GAAAACGTCGGTATTCTATATCGATGAGAAAAACATGTACTTACCAACTGAGGAATAATTTAAATTTAACGTGAAAGGGACACCATACATTTTTAAGTAAAAAATACATAACACAGCGTTAGTCGTTAAATTTCTTCAAAGTTTTACATTTTGTGAATAATGCACAGGTTAAGAAATTAACCTTGGGGAATAATTTATAGGGAAATAAACACAGAACACATGTAGTTATTTGTTTTTAGAACTTGTACTGAAAAATAATGACGCCACCGTGCCTTCTTCGCTACCCCAGCAGTGTTTGTTCGTGTGATTTTAAACTTGCCAGACAACCATTTAAATTGAGTTCAATAAAAATAAACTCTCAAGATACTGATGTACAAGTAACACTAACTGACACAATGCGCCGTTGCTTTATTTTTCTGTTTTTACAGAAAGTTGCACGGTACATGTATACCCGATTTCGCGGACTCAACGATACCCTGATATCGAGGACTATACGCGATTTCACGGATAATACCCGATTTCGAGATTAAAATTTTTAGCTACCCAAGTTCTACTTGTTCAAACTCGGTTGGAAGAGTTTCAAATTTGCTTTTTCTTTTAGAAACGACTTTCATTGATTGGATTTGGTCTGCTACAGTTTTCTCTGAAACAGATCGTTTTACCATTAAAAAGAACAATACCCCCTCCCCCAAAAGAGTGTCGGGGGGGGGGGCTCCTTCTTGTGCCTCGTCTGAAAATTATTGTTCTTTTTCGATCCTTTGTTTTGACTATTATTTGTTCTGCACTACAAAGGTATACATATACGTAATGCATACTTATATATTACAGGTAGGTCTTACCAATTAGTAACTACTGTACAGCAGGTTAAAATCACGGTCGGAAAAGATCTCGATTTGTTCATCTTGCAGCAAATCGCGGTCTTTTGAATTCGCGGAAAGGAAAAATTATACAAAAAAAAAAAACTTTTTCAGCACTGCAAATATTTTTCTTGCGTATTGTGTCGATTCTGAACCCGATTAAATCGAACAGAACACCGTACTGATCCCGATTAGAAGACAAACTGTTGTACGATTTACAATGTTACGCATTCAGATAAATTTTCTTTCTTTCTCGTTTTCTTGATTTCTTTCTTTTTATTGAATATTTTTGAAATACATGAGTCTATACTAGAGTGATTTATTCAAGTGATTTCAAGTCGTATCCAAAACATTCATGTAAAAAAAGAAGCCCTTTGGCAGGTGTTCGTTCATATGTATGTTTTGAGTAGAGTACAGAGTAGTATTTACTGCAGTATATTGAAATCACCATGAATCTAAATAAGTTGTCAGTACCGGTACTGTTAATAAAATTGAATTAATGTGTTGTGTTGTCTTTACTACGTAAGTGCCTTGATTAAAGATAATAGGACTGAGTGATACGCACGGGTGAAATCTAACAGTACATGTTTTATAATTACATGTACATCACACCTCTACTGGGTGGCAGAATTAAATTTTAGTTATAGATGTTTATTTATCAATTAAGTTAAAAAAAAAAACAACTACGTCTTAGTAATTGATCAGTACACCCGCATAATTAGGAAGACAGTCTACATCTCCGCTATATTAATTACTGCTTTTATGTTTGCAAGGAAAAACAAATAGAGTTAACGAATCTAATTTAGGAATGACTCTAATTGTTGGCCAAATTCTGACCCAAACCAGGTTATACTCGAATAATTTGGCCAAGAATTAGAGTCATTCCTTATAATTTAATTTTAAAATCATTAAATAACTATAGGTGTAAAATTTCGTTGCTTTTCATTAGTTCAAATTTGCCGCTCAATAATACAAACGTAGTAATGGAAGTAACGGAAGTGATGGGAAGCGAGGGGAGGTAAAAACTGATACATAGGCCTAGCAGACTTGTTGTTTGTTTACATGTGGTAAGATCGAATTATTGTTTGAAGTTAAAGGTACATTTATTAAATCTGGAATTTTCCATGAATCCCGAGGACTGGAAATGAGAGGATTATATGGATACAGATGATTCAGCTGGTTGTCGGGGGGGGGGGGGGGGTCCCATACCAAACCAGATTATACAGAAATAATTTGTGTTCCTTTTTGGATATTAACCAATCAGAGGCTAGAATACAAACAAAATTAAATTATTCACAGATATCGGTAATATTTCAATTTATCCTTATCAATTTCTGAGGAATTATTCACTGAATGTTGAATTCGCGGAATTTTTATTTCCGCGAATATAGTGAATATTAACTCCGCGAGTTCATTTCCTGCTGTACAGTATAAGAGAAAAAGAAATATTATTCGAATAACTTGCGTTTCTTCTTTATATTAATTTTTTTGAAAATGGTACATTATTTACTTTTACAATAATTTTGAAATTTCAAAGCAATATCTAACAAACGATTAATTTGAGGAAATGTTGTGTAAACTGCGTGTTTCTTTAATTCCATATGTTTCCGTAATTATTTATACATTAATTTATTCTTTAGAGGTGCCTTTGGATTTCGATTTACCCTGCTTAAAATCTGCAAGCAATTTTGAACAGAATAATTATATTAACAAAATTTTACAATCATGTAGATTTGTAAAATTAGGCCCATCGTAAACCACTTGCCTAAATAGATCTATTTTCATATCATAGCATCAGAAGGGACATACAGTATATGAATTTTAAAGCAGTTCTCAGAACTTTTCAAATGCCCCTCGTACATTTCGATCTGGCAGATATTTGAGATTTCCTATTGCAAAACATGAACTTTGAGTTTATATACAGTTATGAATGTGAGGGTGGGGGTGTTATCATTAATTTGGTAAGCTCAGTGCTTACAGTGCCTCTCCAAATCCCCTCCCCTTTCGAAAAAAGGCGGGAAGGCTCTATACACTGTACAGGAAAATATTTTTTTTTAGACATTCAGAAAATTATATTGTATAAAAATGTAAATATTGAACTTATCTTTTCAGGTTTCAACTTAAGGTACCTGGTCTTTACCCTCCGGAAAAATGCTTAAAGACAATGAAGTACTGATCAACAGAAATACTGTTGTTTGCTTAAAAAGGGAAAATATATGCATATAAAGTGTTCAATCTATTCATCTTGGTCCATTAGAATGTTAAAATGTGAAGAATGCTTAATTGAACACAAATATAATATACCTGTATATTCTAATACATTTTATTTGAAATCAAGGGCATATTGCTCTTAATTCATAAAAAAATACAAAGAATCAGAACTCTTCAGTGTGCAGCGTATAGAGGGTTCTTTAAACCAGTGGATATTTGATTTGTTTGTAAGGCTCATTATTTGAACTGTATTTTCTTGGGATTAAGATTTAATTATGCAAATGGTAATCCAACTTAAATTATACCCATTTCCGTTTTTCCCGATCATGACAAGGAGCACACGGCGGATGTGACAGTCGCCCGCGTGGCGCAGTAGTTAGAGCGTTTGCTCTGGAGTCGCGGAGTAAGGAGTTGATCATTACGTCGCGGGTTCGAATAATCCAACTGTGGGACGTGGAGACCGGTCCTTCGGATGAGACAGTAGGTCCTGTGTCGCAGTAGGTGCTGGCACTAAAAAGATCCTTCATTGCTAAATGGCCCTGAGTGCCGAGTATAGGTCAAAATTTGCAGCTCTCCACCGGCAAGTGGTGGCGTCTCCATATGAGTGAAAAACTCATATGGGACGTTAAAACAACAAACAAGTAAACAAACAAACAAAGCGGATGTGACCGGTCGGCAGGGGTTGCTCACCTCTCCATGGCACCTGATCCCACCTTTGATCTTTATGGAGGTCCGTGTTTGCTCTGCTCCCGATTCGCATTCTTTAAATGGATTCCGTCCAAGCCATTGCGTCCAGTTTCTACAGGAGTGAACTCAAAAGAGCGGTGAGACAATTTATGGCAGCAACTTTGAGGGGGTGGAGTTGTAGTTCATTACCTTTCTTTATTAAAATCCAAAACCTCTAATCACGGAGTCGTAGAACCTTGGGAGCAACAGAGATGGAACTACTGATATTTGACCTTAAAAGCGAGTCAATGTCATTGTTAACATCAAATCATCTTTTAATTTTCCTCATTATATAATTATCTAAATCTGCTTACCATCCGTACTCACCCCAATCCCCAACTCCAGTTCCTTTTTGTAAAGGCAAAAGCGAAAATAGATTATTACTTTTGTTTTAACTTCAACCTTGGATCGATGCAATGTTTTAGGGTACGGTAATCAAGATACCATATATAAAAACTTTTTGCAACGTTTTATTGTCATTATTGCAGGCCTAGGTACCTATAAAGTATCAACTTTATCGACAAGAAGAACAACTTTGGTACTTGCAAAAATGACTAAAAAGAAAAACTATTGTACTTTTTATATCGGGAATTTCTTCAGGTATATGCTTTACTGACAAATATCACACAGCAAGCTGACCAAATTTATTTGTTTTAGAGCAGGATATTAAAACAGTTTTTTCAAACTAGTCTTTTTATGTTGGCCGTGGAGCTACAGCAGGTACATATTTTTTACTTAATATTGCCATTGTTTATAAGACCTCATAAAATATTCTGTTGTTATGAAATATAACAATTGTACTTTATTCACTTTTGTATGTGTTTTTCAAGGCTATGGAGCTAGAGGAAGCTGAAAGGATACGGAACATAAAATGCAATATCATGCAACAAGTACATGGGGGATTAATTGTAAGTAATTCAGAGTGTTGTGGAGGATCCAAGATTTTTCATGCCCCACTACCACCGGTTGTCAAAATAGATTGATAACTTGGCATTATGGTGTATTTATTAGCTTAATGCAAATTTCTTCTTCTTGTTCCTTTTTTATGAATGAAAAATTCTAGGGTCTCCGAACTCTTAAAGCTGGATCCGCCGATATATAAGCCGTAATCAATTTTTAAAAATCAATACAAATTTTATAGGAATTGTGATTTTAATAACTTTCTGCTTGAAAATAATATCTATTTAATTAATGATAGAATGTGATTATCTAAAAAGACCTGTGCAACCAAATAAATACAAGAGGACATGGTCTGAAAACGGGAAATGATGGCTGCTGTGCACGCAGAGCTAATGGTAACGAGTGATTACAATCAATTCCTCATCAATTTTAACTGTATAACATATTCTCGAGAATATGATGTTACATCTATTTATTTATTGAAAATATTTATAATAGACCCTTGAAAAAAAGAAGGCTGAAAAACTCATTATAGTAGGCTATTTTTCTTGCTAAACTTTTAAGTAACAATGCACCAATCTAAATCAAATTTATGTCCAGAATTGATCAAAATACTGATAGGGATTTTTTTTACTCCAGAATTACATCAGGAAAATTATTTTGGCTGCAAATGAGAAGCTACTGAATGAAACTTCTCGGGTAGGTGTAAACTTTTAAGCTTGTTTCTGAAAGCCAAAACTCAAAACAGAAAAGTCCACAAGAGCAAGTTCTGCATTGAAAATTTCAACAATATTAAAAGACTGCTCTTTTTGGTTTCCTCAAAATTAGTTGCAGATCAGGTCCATCCAAATATAGATAAAAATTCAGATGAAAGGGTCATGTTAATAAAATACTTTAATTTATAAATGAAGTGTATACCAGCATTGTTTTCCTTTGATCTAAACCCGAACTTATTCCTTCGAAAATAGGATTTCGAACCAAGAAAGTACGTTGAAGAGCAGACGCAGACAACGGCGACATTTTTGTACCAAGAAAGCTTTTCTTCAAGACGAGTTCACAGGTTGACATTAATCTATCTTTATTCTTTAAAATAAAAATTTAAATCACACGTTTGTAAGTGTTTCTCTTAAAAATAAATTCGAATTCCTTTTCTTGCTTTTTGCTTTTTGAAGAGAGTCGCGACTACGGATGAAGAATTGTTGACAGAAACCATTTCCGTTCCAGTCGTGCATCGGTCTGCTAGAAATGTAAGGAGTCTATCGGTGACAGAGAGGCTATTTTTATTATTACTGAAACTGTTGTAAAAATAGAACCTTTCTTGTATTAAAAAAAAAAACAAAAAAACATCCCAAGGGCCTTAACGATCACCTGAGTATAATACAACATTGTAAAGGACCCACAGAGGTATAAAATAAAACAAAAATACACTGATAGATGATCGAAGCTATGTTGCACAAAAGCAAGAGAAATCAGATGATCAGGAATCAACAAAATAATTAGTTTATTACTCAGTAACAAATGTTAAAGCGGATCTATTTACTTGTCTGTACCCCCCCCCCCGTCCCCCCATCTGTCACTATCACCATTCTAACTAAAGAAAACAAAAGTACTTCAGCACAATTAAGATACCAATTGCATTTCTTCTCGCTTTGGTCTCTCTTGTTCTTTTAATTTTGGAAGGGGCACATTTGTTATTATTAACTATACACTTAGTTTGAATGTTTGCTTAATACCCAGGAGCAGAGAAGAAGATTTTCAAAGAATTTATGCATTTTCGCTAAATGATCATTAAAGCCCAGCCCTAACTTCAGATCCCCTGATCCCGGGGCCACAAATTTCACAATTTCATCCTTGCTCATCATAATCAGACACCTAGTTCATCTTCGAAATACACAGGGGGAGAAAAGAAGATTTTAAAAGAATTTATGTTTTTCCACTACAGTATATGATCATTAAAGCCCCGCCTAAATCCAGAACCCCTGATCCTGGGGTCAGAAATTTCACGATTTTGGAAGAGGCACCCTTGCTTATCATAACCAGGGACCCAGTTAATCTTCTAAATATAGAGGGGGAGAGAGGACAATTTTTAAAGAATATATGCATTTTCAGTATATTATCAAAACAAAAATTGCATAAAAATAGAATATTGAGGAATTTATAAGTCTCGGGGGTAAAGTAGCAAACGTATTAAGGTTTAGCCGATCGCGCAGGATAAAAATAGAAGAAAACAGATGCTGGGCAGGAGTTCAGGATGAACTTTTCACCGCTGATAATTAGCTTCATGAAGATTGCTGTTTGTTTGTAGATTAAGAACTTGTTTATAAGATGCTGGTTTGGTCAAGAATAAGGGTGTAACCAATCAAAGAGGTTGATGCAAAGGAGCAGAGGTCATGCATCTGAATAAATTATCTACGGTAAATAAAAAGTCAAGATTATGCATAAAGTTCAACAAGAATTTTAAAGTGCAATTAAAAGAGGGTTTAAGGACGGATAATATTAATTTAAATTCAGAGCAAAATTAAAAGTCATTAGTGCTAATTTTGAGGAAATACTCAAACATGCAGGGCATGTACGGGGGTATAAATGTAGCGCAGTGAGACATATCCAGCCGGTGGTCTGCTGGATTTTGTCTCTTTCTGGTTGCATTTATACAGGTAAGATATTTTTGTAGACTTGTAAAATGCGTAAAATTTTCAGGTGGCTCAATGTATTTACAGGTTAATTTATTTCATAATCTAATAGTAATGTTTCTTATTTATTATAATGTTTATTATATTGTGTATCTTTAGTAATTTTAAATAATTAGAATGTATCTGTTAATTTAATAAAGGGTGGTCTGCTGGATATTGTCTCTTTCTGGTTGCATTTATACAGGTTGGGTAACAGCTAGGGCCACTCCCCTTAACCTGTGATGCGCTATGGACAGGAAGGGAACATGTCCTAGGAAGAGTAGATTCAAACTGGAACCTCAGTTTGAGAAATAAAGGACCACTAATAACCCAACTAACTTGGGTCAATCTGGTCAAGACCCGGGGATTGTAGGAATTGTTCCCCTGTGTCTAAAAACCTCTCACAGGCAAAAAGTGCTCAATGATCCCGGAGCTGACAATCAATTTATCCAGTGACCAGAGAGATTCTAAGACCCAGAAACAATATATTCAAAATAAACAGAAATCTACCCACAACAACATATCTTTTTTAGAGCCCTGCCCCAACGCCAGAGCCCCTGACCCTGGGGCCACAAATTTCACAGATTTTGAAAGAGGAACCCTTGCTCATTATAACCATGCACCTAGGTTATCTTCTAAATATACAGGGGGGGGGGAGAGAGAGAGAGTTTTAAAGAATTTATGCATTTTCACTATATGATCATTACAGCCCAGCCCTAGTTAATCTTCTAAATGTAGAGGGGAAGAGAAGATGATTTTTAAAGAATATATATGCATTTTCAGTATATGATCATTAGTGTCCCACCCCAACGCCAGAGTCCCTGACCCTGGGGCCACAAATTTTACAGATTTTGGAAGAGGAACCCTTGCTCATTATAACCATGCACTTAGATTATCTTCTATACATGTATATACAGGAGAAGATTTTTAAAGAATTAATGCTTTTCCACTAAAGTGAAATATATGGAGATAACGAACAGTATTCAAGCTCAAAAGTCCATTAAACATTACAAAATAGGTGCAAAGCAAACACGGACCTCCAAAACATCAGAGGTGGGATCAGGTGCCATGGAGGAGTGAGCATCCCCTGCCGACCAGTCACACCCGCCGTGTGCTCCTTGTCATGATCGGGAAATAACGGAAAAATCCGTCGACAATTCAGTTTGTAGATAATGGCCTAATAGATAGTATGAAAGTAATAGATAGTATGAAAAACGTCAGTCGGCATTTGACTCAGTGATAAATTGTATTTGCTGACAAGGTCATTGTATCGACCATAGAACTTACAAAACGATGACTTTAAACGAGACTGCTGATATTCTTGTTTCATCAACTTGGTTGTCAATAATTACACCTTGTTTTAGAAATTGTACATACGTAGAGCATGCTCTTGCGTATCGAATCAACTGAGAGATATAAACCCCGTATGCAGGTAATGAAGGTATATTGCTGCATAAGTAAGGGAAGTTGACGATTGAAAAGTTAAAGTCATCACATTTATCATAAAGCTTAATTGTAAGATTACCATTAACGTCTTTCTCAAGTAAAATATCCAAATATAAAACAGATGTGTCTGACACCGGGATATATCGTATCGACATAAGAATGGAAATAACCATTTTTAATTGACAGTACGTCGTCGATATATCTAAATGTCGAGCTGAAGGCCACAACAAGTGTTTTCTTCTTTTCACGTATAAGATTTTGGACAAATTCTGCTTCATATAAATACAGAAAAAAAGGTCTGCTAATAACAGGGCGCGCCATTGGTACCCATGGGAATTCCAATAGATTGTTGGAAGAGGCAATCAGAAGTTAGAAGGTTATTCCCTATTCCCTATTGACTATTCGAATGGCGAACCGCATGCTGCGACCGGTTCCCTATTCAAATTACCGTAAGTGTCCTAATAAATTTTTTTTCCAAAAAAACTTGAATAACTCATTATGGACTTTTGCGAGAAGCACTGACTTTTACACTCGACAGCTTACTTTGACATTTAAATATGTGTTATGTACGGAGGTTCGGAATTGATATTAGATTAGAAAACCTCACTAGAAGTCATAGGTATGGTGTGAGAGGCACTTACATAATTTACTTGTATGCAATCAACACAAGAGAAGATGGGAGGTAGAATAACATAACTTAAAATACCTTGTTCGTGAGGGATAGTATTTCCTTTCAATCTCAATTTATGAAGGAATCAAATAAGGAAGAAAAAAATCCGGAATGAAAACTTGGCAGCAGTTGGTCAAATGGGAAAGGAGGGGGTTAGTATAGGGTGTTATCTCCTTCCCCTCCGTAGACAACGTTATATATACTTTGAATTATTATCGTTTAATTAAAAGTTGAGCTAAATATTCATATAGCAAAAGAGCTGCCGTATATTGTCCCAGTGTAAAAGTAAGCCGTCGATTGTAAAAGTCAGCGCTTCTCGCAAAAGTCCATCAATACATGTTAAAGAAGCAAATCAAAGATATCACTTAAAAAAGAAGAGTTAGGACCCCAATCCAATGTAGCTAGCCTGACAAAATGATGACAATGGATAGAAAAGGTAAACCTTGAACATGGAGCTGGTTTACACCCTGGATCCAATATTTAGACCTTCATCTTTCAACAGAGGAAGGGTCTCCTCCATCTTCAAAAGGAATTGAGTTTACAAGACCGGTAACCTATTTAGCTCGCCCAGTCAAATTGGAAAAATTACGTACATGAATGTTATATGAGTACATAGTTCTAGGGGCTGGCTAACATCCTGGATCCCTCTTTTTGATTTTCATCTTTTTACAGGAGAGGGGTCTGGGAGGGACCCCTTGACTGTCAAAAGGAATTGAGGTTACAAGAGCGGTAACCTATTTAGCTAGCCCGGTCAAAATTAGGAAAAACACCTATAATTCAATTATAAGAGTACATAGTTCTAGGGGCTGGCTAACATCCTGGATCCCATTTTTTGACCTTCATCTTTTCACAGGAGAGGGGTCTGGGAGGGACCCCTTGACTGTCAGAAGGAATTGAGGTTACAAGAGCGGTAACCTATTTAGCTA